ATATTGATATAGTTTTAAGATAAAATAAAAAAAAATTATATTTTCAGCTATCATTATTATAAGTGAATAAAAATGTATCAGATTTTATTACAGTACATTCGTTATTCACTTATGAATAAAAAGTATGATTTTTTTTACAATTTAAGTATCATATATATATATATATATATATATATATATATATATATATATATATATATATATATGAATATAGCATGTAATAAACATAGTATATTCATATTTTAATATTGGACGATGTATTCACTTGTGAATATTAACATAGTATATTCACTTGTGAATATTAGATGATATATTCACTTATGAGTATTAGATAATATTTCATATGTGAATATTACATAGTATTACATGGTATATCAAATGTGAATATTACATACTATATTCACTTGTGAATATTAGATGATAAATTCACTTATAAATATTACAAGGTATATTCACTTGTGAATATATTCACTTATGAATATTTGAAGGTATTTTGCAAATATATATAATTTTTATATGTTATTCACATATGAATAACATACAGACTTGCATATTTGTTTTGTGTTTTTAATAATCATATACTGATTCAGGTGAGAAAACATATTCATATGTGAATATAACGTGGTAATTTAGTTTATGCATTTCATCAAACAGTTGGAGTGCATACAAGTTAACTATTTTAAAAATGTTAAAAACATCAAGTTATCAAATCCAAATCATCATATACTTCCGATTTCGACTTCAGATGCGACATCCTATGTCTGATCGACTTCTCATTTTGATTTTGATTTCCAAAAATCCAATTGTGAACCTGTGAGTACCGATTCTGAGTCCTTCAATGTCGACTGTGACTGCGAGTCAAGAACTCCGATTCCAATTTCATGAACAGTGAAGAAATTCCAGTTTAGTTGAAGAAATCTGGATGATTATTGAACGTTGGAGGAAAATTTTTGATGATGAACGAATTGTTATCGATACGTATTTGAGATTGAAGGTTATTAACATATTTACAAGTTTGCCACAGTGTCTTTTTCTGCTTAGATTAAATGAGTGGCTGAAAATGATTCCCTCATTCTCAACCTTTTTTATTTTCTCAATTGAACCCACCTATATATATATATATATATTGGTTCAAGTTCATTTGAGGCCATTCTAATTTTGTGAAACTATGAGACCAAATCTAAAAATAATTTTAAAATGCAAAATAAATGGAAAAATCCAAAAAAAAAATTAAATATTATTTTCGGAACTTGAATTAACTAAAAAAAATAAAACAAAAATAAAAAAATCCTGTTTTTTCTTTTGAAAAATACGTGAAATTTTCTAAATATAATATTACACTGACATATTCTAAAAATAATTTTAAAATGAAAAATAAATGGAAAAATCTAAAAATTCTTTTTTTAAATATTATTTTCGGAAGTTGAATTAACTAAAAAAAATTAAAAAAATCCTTTTTTTTTTAAAATACGTGAAATATTCTAAATAGAATATTGCAATGTACATATTCTAAAAATAATTTTAAAATGCAAAATAAATGGAAAAATCAAAAAATTCTTTTTTTTTTAAATATTATTTTCGGAACTTGAATTAACTAAAAAAACTTAAAAAACTAATAAAAAAATAAAAAATGTGTCTCACGGTCTCACAAAATTAGGCCGTCTCACATGAACCTAACCATATATATATATATATATATATATATATATATATATATATATATATATATATATATATATATATATATATATATATATATATATATATATATATATATATATATATATATAGAGAGAGAGAGAGAGAGAGAGAGGGAGAGATAAGATCGGGTGAAGACTCTTTTTTATTCGGTGAGGACACTTTAGAAAAATTGGAAAAACAATACAAATGATAACATCCAGTACTACATCGGAGAAAAAAAATTGATCATTAAAATTAAAGCATGGATCATTTTATGATCCATGATTTAATTTTAATGATCTAAATAAAATTTCTAATTTTTTTCTCTCCGATGTAATACTATGCTCGATTTTATGATTTGTATTTTTTATTTTATTTTTTAAGGTGTCCTCACCGGAACCGGACTATATATATATATATATATATATATATATATATATATATATATATATATATATATATATATATATATATATTGGTTGTGGGCCAGCACGGTTTGAACTGCATTTTTGTAATTAAAAGTTGCAAACCACATCACACAGTAAAGTTTGACAAAATTAAAATCCATAAACCACACTGATATATGCTTTAAACCACTTTATGCGGTGTGGTGTGATGTGTGTCTATATATATATATATATATATATATATATATATATATATATATATATATATATATGTTCAAATGTGTTTCACATCTATTGTGTGCTAGAATGCACCAATAAGAATTTAGTATTAATTATATGTATATTAAATGTTATCCATACTTATAACTCATTTATATGGAAACGAATTAAAGTCGTTATTAATATCAACAATAATATTCTTTCATAATAAATTCATATCTAGAAGAATAAAAGTGTATTCCAGCAGAATGAGAGTGTATTTTAGTAGAATACACTCTCGTTCTTCATATTCCATGAAACTTTATTTTATTTGAAGTGAGCGAACCATGAAACAAAATATGAGCTCATATATAAAAACCTAGATGTGAATTCATTTTTAAAGAATGTTATTGATGACATTAATGACGGATTTAATTAGTTTCCATAAAAAGAGAATCATAATTATCGATGTCATTTAATATACATATAATTATAGAAATCATTTAATATCTATATTTATTCAATTAAATAATTATTTAATATCTATATTTATTCAATTAAATAATTATTTAATCTACTAAATTCCTATTGGTGCATTCTAGCACACAATAGATATAAGAAACAAAATAACTTATCCCTATATATATATATATATATATATATATATATATATATATATATATATATCTATCTGTGTGTGTGTTAATGTGTGTCATAAACATATTGTATGTATGTAAAGTAGAAAATAAAAAGTTAAAAAGCTGAGTAAAACATTGCCCAGAAAAAGACAAAAAATAAGCGATATAGATATATTGAATTAGGTGTTGTTTGTTTTTCGAAGTAAAAATTCTTGAAGTCTATGGATCACCTCTGCAATCCTCTGTAGCAGAAGAGGTGGAACAAACGGTTGCAACCTATAATAAGAAACATGTTTGTTTTTGAACATCTGTAGACTACTGCAGTAAACTGAAATTTAAATAAACTAATTTTATAAACTAAAAATAGTTATCAACACTGAAATTTAATAAGTCTAGTCAACATATCGTAAGTTTATTGTAAATGGAATTGAACTTGGTGCACTTCCTGCTTAATTGAGTTCATTTGCTACTCAACATATCGTGGTTGCAATAATTTGCATCCTTATTCAAAATGGTCTGAAATTTCCCGATCACAGCTTCCCAAAAAGCAACATTTCCCATATCATTTCCTTGATTTGGATTTTTGATGTCCCGCGGCATGCCATCGACAATGCGTATTCTTCCTCCGCAGTCCACCATATTGGATGTTCATCATCCGATTGCTCCACCATGACCGCTTTCCCTTTTCCTTTGTGCTCTCCCTTTGTTGGCCGTTTTTTCGGTTCCCCCTCCTCCGTTTGTGTCTCGGGTACCGTTTCTTGCGTGGGTGGCGGTTGTGTGGTATTTTGTCGCATTGCAGCGAATGTGTTGAAAAGGTTCTATGGAAGGGTTGTAGGGAATTGTGGTGGAGGTAAGTGGGATTGAAAAAATTGCATTGAGTGTTGAGGATTTTCGTGTACAACTCGTATTGTACAAAACCGAGAGGCGGAAATGTATTTGTGTTTGGAGGAGGAGTGTTATGGTGTTGATCCATATGATTTTTTGTGTAAAAAATGAATTAAGAAATGGTATGTAAAAATTTGAAGTGAGAATGGTGAGTAAAATTTGATGTAAAAGTATATATGTTTGAGTGAAAATTGAAAAAAAAAATGTTTTTTTAACATTATCAACAGTTCATTTTATGACCGTTGCAAAAAAAATCAACGAGTATTTTTCTGTTTCTTCCCATTGCCACGATAACGTCCTATAACGTAACGCGTAATAACGGCAACATGGGGTGATGTTCATCGCGTTATAACAGCGTTATCCCGGTGGCACATTGGAATAAATCGCAAACGTGTTGCCCGCTCCCACACGTCTAACGTGCAGTGGCCATGCCCCCCCCCCCCCCCCCTGTTTTTGAGCTTAGTAACCTGAACTTAAGAAACAAAACTTTCAAGAATTAGCTTGACTAATCGATCAATTAAAAGACTACACAAAACAAACTAATTTTTGTTCACAAAGTATTCGTCGTCTCATATAAAAAAGATTGTATTTTTAAAAAAAAATAATTATAGGTGTAATTTTAGCCTAAGAAATTTGTGGGGTAAATATGACAAACGAATCCATTGGATTCGTTCAATCCCTAGAATAGAGTACTAGAAATTCCACAAATTCCAAGAATAAAGGAAGGTGCGTCATAAAATAATAGAAATTATACAAAAAATAGAAAAGTTCATATATAACTTCCACTACCACACCGGTGTAAAAAGTGAAATCAAATTGATAAAACCATAAAATAGGAGAAATTGAGAAGAATGAAAAGGTTGCGGATATCGGAGAGTGCATGGCACACCGCTCATCGTCGTCTCCACTACCAATCGATCTATTGTCAACCGTAATGGTTGCATTTCTTTAGTCCACACTTTACTCGTTATGGTTAGTTCTCTTTTTCTCAGTCTGCCACCACATGGATTATGTTCTTGCCAACTCTTTTAGTTTTCTCTGCCGCCCACCTCATAAATTGTAAATTGTTGATGTGTGTGTCGTATGCTTTTTACCTAACTGTTATTTACTTTATTTGGGTATCTCTCTCTCTCTTTATATATATATATATATATATATATATATATATATATATATATATATATATATAATA